GTAATAAAGCAGCAGCAGCTCTGATCTGCAGGGTTTGAACTGTAATAAAGCAGCTGCAGCTCTGATCTGCAGGGTTTGAACTGTATTAAAGCAGCTGCAGCTCTGATCTGCAGGGTTTGAACTCACCACGTGGGCAGGAAGTGGGTCCAGATGTTGACCGTCTCGTTGTTCAGATGGAAGCTGCTGAGGACGCAGTCCAGCGCTGAGCTGCAGGGGTGACGGTACCCAGAGATGATGCTGTCCTCCCTGAACACCTGCAAACCCAACACACCCGCCAAAATAAAACTACTTCCTGTAACTCATTTACTTCTAATCTCTTTCTACAAATGGGTTTTAAGTTTGAGGAATAATTTAGTAAAACTTTAAATATTAGAAATGTAGTTTAATATAATTATTATTTTTTCCTTTCAGGAGAAAAACCTGAAAGTTAAAAGCTGAGGGAAGAGAAACATCGGACAGATTCTTTATTTTTTTTACTGAATGAGCTGTAACCAGTCTTGCAGCACCCTGGTTACAAATACGTTTGTGTTCCTGTTGGAACAAAAAGAGCCAGATCTGAAGAGGAATCTGATCCAGAACTGAGTGTTATTAAAACTCTTTCAAACTGAACAGTCAGATGTTAGCTGCTGGTGGTGTGTTCATAAATAAATAAATAAATAAATAAATAAATAAATAAATAAATAAATCTTTAGTAGGTCCTGGGTTTATTACTGAATGTGTTGAAATCTTGTCTGTTTGGTTTAAATATATCAAATGTGAAGACAAACACAGCTGAGAAATATTTCAACTCTTAGTTTTAAGGCTTTAATAAGATTAAAGTAAAACGTAGTTTGTTAAACTTTACCACTTTGTGTTTATTATAAATGAATTTAAACCTCCTGTTACATCAGAGCAGAATTCAGAAAGTGGACAGAAGATTAAAAGGATAAAAACTGATGATTAAAATTAAATAAAAAACATTTTATCTCTAAATGATTAGAAACATTTTAGGTTAAAACCAGTTTTAATCTGTAAAACACTTAAAGAAAAGTAAACAAGACAAACTAAAACAAGAAAGGATCAAATCAAACTGTTCAGTTTTACTTGGTTTTGAAGGAAATAGAAGAAGTTGGAGTTTAATGATCCAAACAGTCTTAATATTTGTTGGTAAATAACTCCATGAAGCAGCAGCAGCAGAGTTGAGCTCATCTCTGTTCTTGGGTGAATTCCTGGAACATGAGGTGGTTTTAGTGGTGAGCTGACCTGACAACTGACTGGAAACTCTGGTGTTCTGACAAAGTGTTTGTTTTTAGGAGGAGAAGTCAGTGCTGGTCTCTGCAGGACTCTGGCTCCTGTGGAGACCACCACAGACCCCCTCTGCTGCAGCCTGGAGGTTAACCCTGACAGGAACCATCAGTTTGTAAACAAACAGTAAACGTGTGTTGGGCTGCGAGCCGGAGCTCACAGCAGAGGTCAAAACTTTTTTTTTTAAATTCCAGCTTTGTCTCTTATTTTTATTGTTCTTTTGTTGTTTTATGTTACTCGTTTTATTTACTGTGTTTTGTAGAACTTTGAGATTTTTGCTAATGAAGTGTTACAACTTATATTCATTATTGTTAC